ACTCTGTAGACCAGTGATGGGGAACCTTTTCGGCACCGAGTGCCCAAACCAGAATGTGTGTGCATGCATGTGCTAGAGTGCTGGAAACTCAAAGATCAGCTGGCTTGCACACACATGCCTGTTTTGGGGCATTTGGGGGTTTTTTTTTGGACTGTTTTAAGGCCATTTTCCAGGCCTTTTTCCAGACTGGCCGTTTTTGAAAACTGGCCTGAAAACAGCCAAAAACCGTCCCGAAAACCAGCTGGAAACCAGGCTGTTTTTTGGGAGGTTCTGAGGCGTTTTCTGGCACTCCAGCACCCGCAAAGACCAGCTGGCTGGCACACATGTGCATGCTGGAACCCAGAAGAGCAATGGGCGACTGCTGGCGTGCCCAGAGAGATGGCTTTCCGTGCCACTTCTGGCCCTCATGCCATAGGTTCGCCATCACAGTTCTAGACTTTTCCGTTTCAGCTCTCCTCAGCCCCATCACGTTAGCATCATTGCTTGTCAGCAGTAAGAAAGCATAGAATGATAGTTCTTAATATTGAAAGGCAACTAATTGAATTCCACAGGGATCTGCAGGTGGGGATCAAATGATGAGGGCAGAATTGCACTGTGAGACCCTTTTGTGGCTATCATGACACTGCATGCATGTAGGAAAGAGGTAGAGCTTGTTGACAATGGTGCAACACTGCTTTTGTCATTTTTATAGAATTGGATCCTGTGCATGCTCCTCCTCGTTTAGTTCTGCATTAGAAAAATTTAATCCCCCGTGTTCTGTTCCTAAGCCAGCCTTTATCTTCCTACAGTAACGGTAACATTTTTCTTCTTTTTCTATCTTCCTTGAATTTTAACAGAGGCATTGCTATCAAAGCAGATAAGAATTCACATTAGCTGTTATGCAAATGACTGAGAAGATCTGCAAAAGACAATCAAATTTGGTGATACCTTAAGAGTGTACTGACTGAGCTTTCTTGTTTTATACTACCAGTTTAATCCATTACATTTCTGAGATCTAACTAGAAACAACTTCTCACTAATTGTAATCTAAGTTATGTCTATTGCTTATTTAGAATAACCATATTAGGGATTGCTAGCATAAGCCAACTATCAGCAGGTTTATATATAAAGCCTATTCACATTTGTGATATCACCATACTATAATCACCGGTATGGATGGTCTCTGTATTCTATTGTTTTTTACAACAATATGTGACACAATTCTGAAATATGCCTAAAGGATAATACAAATCTCCAGAAAGTTGGTCGATTGAAAAAGTGTACATTTTCATACTGAGCTCCAAGAATTCCAGATTACTAGCAGCCTTTTTGCTACAGATACCTCTATTCTAGTAAATAGCAGCAAAGGAAGACACTGTTGTGAGGGCTTAAAAACAACTCTCCAGTAATTATGCTGTTGCAGAAACATGGAATTTGTGGAAGCTACACTCTCAAATTCAGAATACTCATTTTCAACCATTTTATATATCAGTTATTTCCCCACTCCCTTATTTTGTTAAACAGTTCTTTTACATTATTTTACAATGTACACAACCAACATTTCTATAAATTTGTTGTGGCCCGCCAGCGACCAGCAGAGCTGGCAGCAGATTCGAACAGTGAGGAGGTTGGAGAGGAACATGGGCCAGTCTGGGGAAGGCTCTGATGAGGGCTCTGTGTTGGAGGCAGAGAGGGAGCCAAAGCCACATGCCAGTTATCAGGTGCCTTCAAAGTCGGACATCAGAGAGTCAGACAAACAGCTGGAGCCTGTTCCCAATGTGCACATGTGCAGTTGTCAAACGAAGAGAACAGCTAAGGAACAGGGGTCGACTTTGGAATAAGGCCACAGGTGGACGATGAATGGCCTCTCCCAGAGGAAATAAAAGAGGAACAAAAGAGGAGTGGAGTTTGCAGGAGACAATTAGTTCGCTTAATTGGTTCATGACTCTCCCAGACTCCTTGCCAGGTTTTGCAGATATCAGCCTGCCAGTTCTCTAAGCCAGATAAGGTCTGTGACTGTAATTCCTCCCTTGAAAGATTTTGCTTGATGTGAATGAACAGAATTCACAGTAAATAAAAGGGTTTTTGTTAGGAAAAGGATTGCTTCAGGCTCTAGGAAAGCTTAGGTCAGAACAAAATTTCCTTTATTCTGGATACATAGGATATATTTGACCAATATTGAAACAGCTAGGGATGAATGAGAAATTCAAGATAAAGACTATCCCACGATATCTATTCATGCATACTGCACAATTCTGGGATATACATCAACAAATAGCCAATACGTTTTTTAAAATAAAACACATACAATTTATTGGTAAAGATGAGATACCTGCATACAGGTCATTTTTATTTATTTTTGGCAAGTGGAAATACATACAGCACAGCGTGCCTCAAGTCCATAATTAGGCATTAATCCATTCAAGTTAAGGCATGTGTTTGCCATGAATCTTTTTAAAAACTTTATGTAATAATTATCAATTACAAATACTTCAAAGTAAACATTTAATTTACCAGATGAGGAGAACACTGAATCCTACCTATGTTTATTGTGAGCTAATTCCCACTAAACTTAATGGGAGTTATTTCCCAATAAATAAGAGAACTGTGCTTGAAAATTGAACATACTATAAACTGTTCAATGAACTAAGGTGTAAATGGTAATACTCTATAGTTCCTCCGTTCAGCTAATTCCTCAAAAAGTAGAATAATTTTCACAGAATTTCCTTGTAAACATTTGATTCAACTGAAGTGTTAAAAGTGAAAGGAAACTCTAAGAATTAACATAATATTATACTCTGGTTTATTAAACACTGCTTGTACATGATACGTTTAACTAGAATTTCTTTCTAGTCATGATCAAAAAGCAGTATGAAGAATAGTGACACTATCTTTGTACACATATTGATTAAATCCCCCATCATTTCATGAATCAGACTCTATGCTTGTTCTGATACGTTTATCATGAGGGGAATATATATATATAATTAAGGCTGTTTCTCCCTCCCCCCTTCCCCCAATTGTACAACTACTTGTACAACTACTTTGATTCTTGAATTCAGATCCCATATGATGGATCCATATTCTTCAACCTTGTTGGTTGGGAATGTTGAGAGTAGAAATCTCACATCTCTGATGTCTACTATTAGACTGATTACAAAGATTGGCACAATTCCAAAACAAATTGTTTCTGATGCAATTAACTAGCAAGATCATGCTGCTGCTTTTGTAGATAGAATAGCAGCGCACAGTGCCATTAAAAAAAAGAAATTGAACTTCAATTAGCAGTATTTGTTCCCCTTGCTGCTGGGGAACACAGACCATTGGACTTTGGTTGGTTTACCACTCCTAATTGATTTCAAGAAAATCAAGATCCATCCTTACCAATGATGATATTTCTCTACTACAAGATCAGCAGTAAGAAAACTAAGGCCATTGCCTCCAAGGCAAGCATAGATCTGACTCTGATAGCCAATGGTGCTTAAGTCCTAGTCTTTCAATGGGACCTAAGCACACTTCTCTGATCCAGATTATGCTAAGGAAACAGGGATGAGACCAAGGACCTTTCAAAAACAGGTTTCCAATAGGCCTCAGGTTGAAGGTTTTGATTCCCATGTTTCCTGTGCTAAATATGCAATCAGAGAAACTTCTTTGTTATGGAAAACAGTTGTTAAGTGAAACCACAACTGTGCTTATGATCTTACTTCAGCTCTTCTTTACTTTATGGTCATAAATGCAAGACTAAGGACTTTTGCATCACCATCGTAAATTACTATCACTAAACAAGACAGTCACTAAATGAGATCCACTTGTCATTTCAATCACTAATTGTGCACTTTTATCCATCTTCCCAAAAGATGAGAAGAAATAAGGTTATTATTTTTTTGGCAATTCAACACAAGTTGTAATCCTAAAAATATGTTTTCAGTGGGCTGAATATTACGGTTATTATGATCTGTAGGGAGACAGAAATACACAATCCTAATTCTAATGGCATTTAAATATACATGACAGGTTTTTTTTTAAATGTGATGTTAAAAAGTTCAATTAGTTGAAAAGTACCCATAATGTAATGTTAGCAAAATCCAGACAATTTAAAAACACTAATATCTGTTAAAATAACATTCCATTTAGTCTTTTAATCGGTATTTTATTACATTCATATGGAATTCTGATAATAGCTCACATGGTATTCAAGAAATGAAGGATAAATTCTACATAAAGAGCTGTTCCAGATTTTTTTCCCCAAAAGGAGGAATGAAAGGAATGAAAAAGTCTACCGTATAAATGTATAATTTTCTCAGTAATTTTGAAACACTGACATTCACGTCAACAGAAACTGAGAGTCCTATAAACATGGGTTTTCTAACAGAAACTGAAATGAAGGTTTGGGGGGGGGGAGCAGATAGGCTGCAGCTAAACTTTTTATTTTTTGGGGGGGAGGGGGGATTGTTAGAGGCCTAAAAGCAAAAGCATGATCCAACCAAGGTTCTGCACTCCTGAATAGGAATTGTATAGGCCTTCTGCCTTATACAATTTGAATTTTAAGTGCTTAATTTTGGCTGGATCACGTCTGCTTAGTAATGCTAAAGGCAACTTTTAAAGCAAGTAAGGCTTTCAAAAGATAACAATTTTATCAACAATAGCCAGCATATTTGTGATATTCCAAAAGTTTTTTTCAGTTTTTTGTTTTGTTTTTGTCTTTTAAAAAAACCACCATGTATAAAAGATTTCCAGTAAGAAGGAATCCTTCTAAAGATTGAATAGCTTGGCTCCAGGAAATATAACTCAATATTACTGATAATGAAAACACACATTGTATGGGGCCACTGTGCTTTCTAATTAGAACACAATTCGCACAACTGTTTTTCTGTTCCTTTGACAGACAAATCAAGGGTCACATCAAACTCAGCATTTCTCCTGTGCAAGCTACAGTGATGAGAAGAACTGTATAGGTTCTTGCAAAAGTTTCATTCATTTTTAGGGTACTTGTTGGATGTTACCAGAGGATCGTATTGGGCTTATTGTATTATTTCATCATTATAAATATGCTACATACACATATTAATATAATATATGTGTACATATTCTAGGTACCTTATATTGGCATATATGTTCATGCCAGACATTTTATTAGATTGATAAGAAAACACTTAATTGTATAGATCGCAGCTGGTGTAGCACTTAATGCCAATCCAATGCTTATGCAGTAACTTGGCATCAGAACAGACTTTGGGACAAAAACTCTCTTGCCTTGTTTTCCAGTTTCCTTGTGCATTCCATTTTGTCCCAACCAGAAGCAAAGTCTCCTGAATCAATGCTGAGATTTTAGGTCTATCAATTTCTGAAGATACTTCTGTGTAATGGGCACAGAAAGAATAAACCGAAGTGTCCTGTGTCCCATCCTATAGCAGCCGTAGCCCACCAGTCCAAATATTGTTGCCTTTATAACAAACTTTAAGATTTTACTGGATGTGGATGGAGGAGGCACACTAAAAAGAGGAGACAGGGAGAAAACAAAGTTAATATCCAAACAGGTCATCAGAAAAAGGACCAATCATTATTCACACCAAATAATATCGTAGCTGCCATTAATTTCACAGGCTTTCATATATTAAATCCTCTACGTCAGGTGGTTCTCAACCTTTTCTTCACCACAAACACCTTTTAAATATCTTTTGTGGCCCGCCAGCGGCCAGCAGATTCAGACAGCAAGGAACTGGAACATGGGCCAGTAATTTTGAACAGTCACTAAATGAATGGTTGAAAAATCAAGGATTATTTGTACCAATATTTACCATATTTTTGGAGTATAAGACGCACCAAAGTATAAGACGCACCAAGATTTTGAAGAGGCAAATCAAAAAAGTTTTTGCACCCTGCAGACTCCTAAAAACGGTCCATTTTTTGCAAAAATTGACCCTTTTTTGTCAAAAAAAGGGGCATGAATAGCCCTTAGGAGGCTTATAGCGTGCTACTGGAGGCTGCCGGAGGGGGGGGGGGAATTGAGCAAAAAATGGCCCTTTTTTCGCTCATTTCTGCTTTCCACAGCCCCCAGGAGCACTCTGGAAGCCTCCTAAAGGCTATGCATGGCCTTTTGGTGAAAGGGGCGGGGTTTCGGGAGGCCCAAAATGCTGTATTCATTGTATAAGACACACCCATATTTTCACCCTCTTTTCAGAGGGAAAAAGATGCGTCTTATACTCCGAAAAATACAATACGTCTCAATATCTACAGGTCACAAATATTTTTGACAGCCTGGAGCTCTTCTGTTTCGAGATCTCATTCCTACTGCTGTTTTCACCATTTGTTTAATGTAGGAAATTGCTTAATAGGCAGTGTAACAAATATTGGTTTTTGAGACCATCAAAAATATTGGGGTTTTGAGACTATCAAACCACGTTGAACATCAAACCACGTTGCACAACCCCTCTGGCTCTGATGCAAGCTCTCACTGGGTTTCTCTTCTCTCTGGTCTCTCTAGTCACTCTGGCCTTCTCTGTGGACTGGGCCGATAACCTGTCAAGAGTGCTCACAGCGTGATTACTATTTTGAGACAACCCAGGAGCAAAATACAGTACACAGAGGTTTTTTCTTTCAAACGGTGGTTTATATACTATATATACATACATACACGTGTTAGCCAAATACCAGGCAAGCAATCAATCCTCAACTCTACACAGGGAACCACAATGGAGAGAGAACACGAGGAGAGACAGACACCCTTACATGACCTCTCTTATATATACGGCTTCTTAAAGTGTCAGTAAACCTGCTGACTCAACCTCATGTCATCATCTTGGTTTACAGCCTTACAGCAGCTGGTCAGCTATTAAATCGTCATTACCCTAACCTTTTTCCTTTCTAACCAAGGCCATTTTAGCACAAGATAGTGTGATAATTGCACCTGTAATATTATAGTTTGCACCTATGCCTATTCAACTGCTTTTTTGTTTTTATTCTTGCCTCAAGGTAACCGCAGCCATTGTAACTTGTAAGAAAAGTAACTAAACCTAACCGAGAATTACCTCATTATTTCCTGGATATTCAAATCAGTGTTCCAGTTCTTTTCAATCCCTGGTACGTGACCCATGCCGACCACCCCAACTACAACGGAAGGGACGCATCTTCTAGGTTCAGCTAGGATGGAGACCAAAATAAACAATAATTGGCATTATCAAAGTTTATCATTTACAGCATTGTTTTAGGGGTTTAGCACAAGTCAATATAGGACCAACAGCACAGGATCTTGGGAGTTGTAGTTGAGCATCAGGAGATCCAGAGGATCTCCATCCTTAGTTCACAGAGAATGAAAGCAAGTCTCCCCGATACCAGTTTTGAAGCACAGATCGTCTGCCTGCAAAACATAATCTGTACAATTCAGCTTCTATTCTTTTCCTCCATCTATGATCGGGGTGAATAAAAATCGATGATGTTTTTTAAAAAAATAAAAAAATAGGATTTTTCAATTTAGAACGGATTTTTTGGATTTTTATTAAATTTATTTTAATAAAATGCTTTTGGAGTAAAAATCTATCTAAAGATAGTTTTCTATTTAAGATACATTAATAATTTAGTTTATTCAGTATGAAATGGAGCTTAGTTATGTAGTATGAAGCTGTATATTCTGCAATATTGGGACTGTCGGTGAGTCAACAGTGGGTCAGAGGAGCTGTGGGACAGAGATGACAGTTGCTCTTTAAAAATTATGATTTAAAATTGACTTGATTGAAATCAAATCCACCCTGTCTATGATAGAAGTCACAGGATAAGCATTCCAAAATAGAAGAAGGAAAAAAGAGGGAGAAGAAGAGACGGAGGAATATGGTTGTCACTCATGAATACATCTGATTATGAAGAGGTTTGAAGAAATAAGCAGTAACTGGGTAGCAAATTTCTGGATCACTGGATTAATTTACTGTACTAAGTCATGAATTGTTCAACCAAGGTGTCTAAGCTAGACATATAAAACATTTTCAAACTTGATAAGAAGACAATAACTGGGCTGATTCATTAGACTAAGCTAGAATGTCAATTGATTATTTTTATTTAGTGCAATGTATGAATCCAATCACTGTGAACAATGGTTCATGACTTACCAATATATGATTTGAAAATCATGGTTTAGCAGGATGTGCAAAACCATTCATTGACACATCAATAAAAAGATACAGCTTTGATGCTCCTAGATCATATATAGATATGAGTATGCTCTCAGATTTGCTTCAGTCCAATTGTGATTCTTAATGTGATATTACATACATGAATAATCACATAATAATTCTAAATTTAAACAAGTTTACTGCTTCTTGGCCTTTTCTGGCTGAGATCAAGTTACATTTTGATTTAATCAATTTTGACAATCTTGACAAAGACCAAAATTGCTACCTAAGAAAGTTGTTAAAGCACTCCATAATTTAAACTCTTTGCTTAAGCCGACTCAACTGTTATCTATGCAGCTTTCCTGAGAAACACCACAGCATAAGAGCTGCTACCACTGTATAATGTTTATTCGGGCTCATGCACTTCAGCATACCTTCAGAAGCACGAGGTAGTTCTGTCCTTTTTGCAGCTTGCTTCAGCATGTAAGTCAAATAAATATCTCTTTCTGAAACAATCGTTCGGTGAAGATCTGGAAATTCTCCAATCATTTCTGCCATCATTTGCTCCAGTAAATCCTTTTGTTTGCATTTCTCCACATCATCTTTACTGAAACAAAAATGTCACAACGTCTTCATTATGTTCTCAGAGGAAAAAAAGGAAATGGAAACTGGAAACTAAAACAGTTACAGTGAAATAATAGCTAATTGATAAATTAAAGAAAAGTGGACAAGTAGGAATCAATCACACACATTAGAGCAGGTAGATTAATGTATGTAGTAGTAGTTTTTTCCTTGAAATCTGCATAACTAATGTCAAAAAGAAATGAGTAAGCTGCTTTGGATGTTACCTCGAAAGCGATTTCTGTAGGGAAAAAATCTATAGATTATGATGGAATTTATATCAAATGAAAAATTACTGATTAACATGTTTGAGTCAGAAATACAACATTTTTGTTTATTAATCATTGAAAATTATTTCAGGTACAAACCTTAAATATCTTGACAAATAGGTTTCTACAATGATTTTATGTGTGTGTGTGTGTATGTATGTATGTATGTATGTGCGTGCGTGCGTGCGTGCGTACGTACGTACATACATACATACATACATACATACATACATACATACATACATACATACATACATAC